CGATAAAAGTAATTAGACGCTCTAATCTTTCTGTCATAACTAAAGAAACATAGAGTAACAGCAATTACGTCTTTATTCTAAACCTTTTGGGGCCATCTGCTTGATTTTTCCTTTTCTTTCTTCTCATTCACCTCTTTAAGGACCATCCCTTTGGTTAAATAAAAAAATTGCCATATCCTTTATAACTAGGTTACCTAGACACTTCATCAAGGCTTCTATATCTGTGTCTGTGTCCGACACTCCTTAGACACTTCATAGATATATACATACATTTATTCAAACGTATATATATAGTAAATTATATAACACATGTTTTAGTTCAAAAATCTCGTGACTCGGTTCTTGAACGTATATTGTACACTTCTCCTCACATTTATGCAACTCATTTGACTCAGGATAGGTTAGTTTTAGCATGTACCTAGTTCATAAGTATGATTTTGAAGAGTCGTTTAGGTATCTAGTTCAAATATGAGTATTTTTCAATTTATAGTCTACTCGATAAAAGAAAACATAACAATGATATAAGGATTTTAGTTCTCATAACATGTGAATGAAAAACAATATCAATCTCATATATAGATTGTTAATTTTAATCTGTATCCTAACTTTTACTATTTTGATGTGTCCCGTATCTGCACATGTGTTCGTATCTACACCCGCATCCGTATCCGTGCAACATGGCTTTGTAATAATGTCATCCATGTTTTAGGCCTATAAATAATGATGGGGGAATGACTAAGAGAAACCTTCAACTTACGTACATCTTTAAAAATCATTGATGTTTGAAACTAGCATTCCCTTTTGAGCTATGATCTGCAGGCACGGACAAAGTATCATACTATAACGCATACAAGTGCCATTATACAGCCGTACAACATGGGCATGGCCCGTGGGTGATGGGCACAAAAATTATCCAAAATTCAGATGGTCACGGTTAAGCATATGTATACTTCTTCTGATATTATTTGGCTCGTAGAATATATGGTTGTGTCGCTGTTCTTATAAGAGAGAGAGTGAAATCATCTATAAAACAGTTAGCTCTCGTCAAGAAGAACTAAGTATCATCACACGCTCCAATTCACACGTATTTTTTAAAAACATGTTATTTCAAATTGAAATAGACACGCCAATTTCCGTGGGGTGAATTATCCTACATATCGTACGCATTTTAAACATTTCAAATTAAAACCTGTGTTTAGACGTGTCATCAACGTATACAGATTAAGGTCGACCATATGAATGTGCACGTGTGTACGAGAGAAAAAGAGACATGTCAACCATCCCCAAGGACGATACTGCTCTTTAACGTTTCAACTGAAACTATCTATTTATTAGAATTCCTCACCAACTTAATTTATTCTAGAACAACTTTCTAGAACTTCTTTCTAGTAACATCCTACAAAATATCTACCAAGAAGTTTCTAGGAAGATACAAGTGTATGGCTAGTATTTATTCTTCTAGAAACTTCTTAATAATGTATGGCTAGGATTAACTCTTCTACACACTTCCTAGTCCTCTTAAATAACTATAAATAGGGGTCTTGGGCTCACATTTGGGAAAACAAGCAAGAAGTAAGCTTGAAAGCTTGAGTACTGTGCGGTGTAGGCTTGTGTGAGTGTTCACCAAAATAAAAGAGTTGTGTGAAAGTGAGGTGCTCTTGTAAGAACAAGTATTGTACTCTCTAGTATTCTATCAATAAAAGTTTCCATTGTGTAGAGGGTTGTATTCTTCAAATTCCATCAAAGTGGTATCAGAGCAAGATTCGATCTAGACGGGCCAATCAAAGGCGCTCGTGTATGAGATGTCGAACATGACCTAGCCACAGATTCCGAAGCTGATGAAGACCAATTATGACAACTGGAGTATCCAGATGAAAGTCTTGCTCGGCTCGCAAGACTTGTGGGAGCTCGTAAAGAATGACTACACTGAACCAGAGTCACCTGCAGCAGAAGCAGCTCTCACCGCCACACAAAAGAGTGAATGGAAGGAGGTTAGAAAAAGAAACAAAAGGGCTTTGTTCCTAATATTCCAAGGCATAGATGAATCAGCGTTTGAGACAATTTCGCCTCCAAGCATTAAGAGTTAAATTTGAAATTTTGAAGATGAAAGCTACAGAATTAATATCAGACTATTTTAGTAGAGTTTAGACAATAACTAATCAAATGAAGAGAAATGGAGAAGCAATTACTGATGTAAGAATTATGGAGAAGATACTTAGGACTTTAGACTCTAAATTCAAATATATTATTCCGGCAATGGACTTTAGACTCTAAATTCAAATATATTATTCCGGCAATACAAGAGTCTAAAGATCTTTCCGAAGTTTCTATTGATGAGCTAATTCAAATATATTATTCCGGCAATACAAGAGTCTAAAGATCTTTCCGAAGTTTCTATTGATGAGCTACAGGGTTCTCTACAAGCTTATGAACAAGATATAAACATCAGTTTAAATCAAGCAGAGAATCTAGAGCAAGCCTTGCAGAATAAGATGACTATCAAAGAAGATAGTCGAAAAGGACGTGGAGGCTACAGAGGCAGAGGCTCTTTTCGAGGTGGCTCAAACCTCCAGCAAGGTCGTAGGAGATAGTGCCAAGGAGGCCATGGAAATCAAAATCGAAATAGAGACCGTGAAAGATCATTCGATCAAGGACGAGGTCGTGACACGCGAGGAAGAGGACAAGGAAGAAGTTACCAGGAGGACAGATCTCAGCCACAGTGTTACAAATGCAAGAGATATGACCATCTTAGCTACGAATGTTGGGAGAAATCAAATCAAGTGGCAGAAAGAAGTAACTTTGTAGAAAGGGAGCAACCAGACACTTCAACAGTCTTGCTGATGTACTAGAAGAGTGAAAGCAAGAATAAAGATATCTGGTATCTGGATTCAGGTGCCAGTAAACACATGTGCGACATCAAGGAGTTTTTCACCGAGCTGAATGAGACGGTACAAGGAGATGTCACTTTTGGAGATCAGTCAAAGATTCCAGTGAAAGGCAAGAGGAAGATAATGATTCAGACAAAGACGGGCGAGAACATGTACATCTCTGATGTCTACTATGTTCCAACATTACAAAATAATATTTTGAGCGTAGGCCAGCTCCTTAAAAGAGGCTATGATATACATCTAAAAGACCATGCCCTCACTATTAAGAACAAAAATGAAGTTATTGCAAAGGTGAGCATGTCTAGAAATAGATTGTTTACCTTAAATATTCATGCTGACTCTGTCAAGTGCCTGAATACAATCATAAAAGACGAGACTTGGCTGTGGCATCTACGATTCAGGCATCTCGCATTCAGTGGCCTAAATCTTCTGTGGAAGGAGAAGATGGTAAAAGGATTGTTACAAATCAATCATCCGAACCAGTTATGTGAAGGTTGTATGAAGGGCAAGTAATATAGAAGAAGTTTTGAAGTTGGAAAGTTAAGAAGAGCAACAGAGCTGCTATAATTGGTCCACACAGATATTGCAAGACCATTTGAAGTCGTCTCTCTTGGAGGAAATAGGTATTTTCTCACATTTATTGATGATTATAGTAGAAAAACTTGGATTTATTTCCTGAAGGAGAAATACGAAGCTTTGGAGAAATTCAAAGAATTCAAGAAGATGGTAGAAAAGCAAAGTGGGTATCACATCAAAGCGCTCTGATCAGATCGAGGCGGAGAATACACTTCGAAGGCATTCAACAATTTTAACAAGCAGTACGGAAGAATTCATCAACTCACTGTCACTTACACACCACAGCAGAATGGCATAGCAGAGTGGAAGAATCGTACCATTCTTGATATGGTCAGAAGCATGTTGAAGAGCAAGTACTTGCCGAAGACTTATAAGGCTGAAGCCGTGGACTGTGCAGTTTACCTCCTCAACCAATGTCCGACAAAGAACGTAAAGTTTAAGATACCATTATAGATGTGGAGCAACATCAAGCCAAGCGTCAACCACCTGAAGGTATTTGGGTGCATTGCATATGCATACATCCCAGAGCAGAAAAGAAAGAAGCTGGATGATCAAGTAGAAAAGTGCATATTCGTTGGATACGAGAGGAGGACAAAAGCGTACAAGCTCTACAATCCAATTACAAAGAAGATGATCATTTCAAGAGACGTAGGGTTCGATGAAAAAGATTATTGGAAATGGACCGATGAAGATAAAAATATTAAAGGTATGTTCTTTGAAGATAATGATGATGACTTGCAAGAGGTTGGAAGACAAGAACAAAGTCCACCTAATAGTCCAACTCTATCAACCCCACACCGACCTCATCACCATCCAGCTCAAGTGAAGGAAGCTCTTCAGGGGGAGCAACAAGGAGGATGAGAAGCCACCTAAGAGATCTGTACAATGATACAGAAACTATCAAGATGATGGAGGACTACACACTATTCTACTTGTTTGTATAATGTGATCCGGTCAGCTATGAAGAAGCTTCTCAAGAAGACAAGCGGAGAAAAGCCATGGATGACGAGATCGAGGCAATCAAGAGAAATGACACATGGGAGCTCACTACCTTACCTGAAGGGCATAAACCAATTAGAGTAAAGTGAGTGTACAAGACAAAGACAAATCAAGACGGCGGAATCAAGAAATATAAGGCCAAACTTGTTGCAAAGGGATATAGTCAGTGAGAAGGAGTTGACTATGAAGAAGTGTTCGCACCAGCCGCGAGGATCGATACCATCTGACTCATTATCGCATTGGCATCACAGAACCGGTGGAAGATCTACCAGATGGACGTGAAGTCTGTATTTCTGAATGGCTACCTAGAAGAAGAAGTCTACATCATGCAGCCACCGGGGTACGAGGTGAAGAACCAAGAAGATAAAGTCTATAAGATGAAGAAGGCATTGTATGGATTGAAGCAAGCACCCAGGGCGTGGAATGTCAGAATCGATGCATACTTTCAGAAGAACGGATTCCAGCAGAGTCCGTATGAGCACTCTCTCTATACCAAGAAGAAGGATAGAGACATTATGATCGTATGTCTCTATGTGGACAACATGATCTTCAACAGCAACAATCTGAAAATGTTCGAGGAGTTCAAGAAGAACATGATCAGGGAGTTCGAGATGACTGACATTAGAAAAATATCATACTTTCTTAGAGTAGAAGTATCGCAATCTGAGAGAGGAATCTTCATCTCTCAGAAAAAGTACGCAAAGGAGATCCTTCGGAAGTTCAACATGAACAACTGCAAACCAGTTGCAACTCCTGTTGAAGTCGGAGTGAAGCTAAGGAGAGACTCACTAGGAATCTCTATTGATCCAACTTTGTATAAGAGCTTACTCGGAAGCCTACGATACCTGACCATCATAAGACCCGACATAATATTTGCGGTTGGACTGGTGAGCAGATTCATGGAGGAGCTAAGGCAAGAACACTTCAAGGTGGCCAAGAGGATTCTCAGGTATGTTCAAGGAAGCATTAATGAAGAATTATTTTACTCACAAAGTATAGATCCAAGACTAGACAGTTACACCGACAGTGATTATGGGGGAGACTTGGATGAAAGAAAGAGTACATCCGGCTACATGTTCAGCATTGGATCAGCAGTATTTTCTTGGTCATCAAAGAAGCAGTCCGTTGTTGCTCTATCAAGTTGCGAAGCAGAATACATTGGTGCATCTGCAGGTGCATGTCAAGCGATATGGCTTAGAAATCTAATGAAGGAGCTGCAACATGAACAAGAAGCACCGACAGAGATTCTCATCGATAACAAGTCAACTATTGCACTTGCCAAAAATCTGGTAGCACATGGACAGAGCAAACACATAGAGACAAGATATCATTTCATCCGACATCAAGTTAAAAATAAGACTGTGATGCTGACATATTGCAAGTCTGAAGACCAAATCGCTAACATCTTCACCCAGCCACTAAAGACAGAAATATTTTTGAAGTTTAAGAAGAAGCTTGGACTTGTGAGAAATAAAAGTTGGTGACGAGGGGGGGTCTTAGAATTCCTCACCAACTTAGATTATTCTAGAATAACTTTCTAGAACTTTTTTCTAGTAACATCCTACAAAATATCTACCAAGAAGTTTCTAGGAAGATACAAGTGTATGACTAGTATTTATTCTTCTAGAAACTTCTTAGTAATATATGGCTAGGATTAACTCTTCTACATACTTCCTAGCCCTCTTAAACAACTATAAATAGGGGTCTTGGGCTCACATTTGGGAAAGCAAGTAAGAAGTAAGCTTGAAATCTTGAGTGTATAGTGTAGGCTTGTGTGAGTGTTCACAAAAAAAAAAGAGTTGTGTGAAAGTGAGGTGCTCTTATGAGAGCAAATATTGTACTATCTAGTATTCTATCAATAAAAGTTTTCTTTGTATAGAGAGTTGTATTCTTCAAATTCCATCACTATTTAATGGCTTGCTCGGTCACAGCCAATCACACGCATAAAAGTCATACAAGCTATTTCATTCCAAGAGTTCTAATAATCACTATGATGTTACTGCCCGGGACTGTTGCGGGCACAAAACTGATACAGAAACAGACACAGAAAATTATTTGAAAAAGAAAGCAAACAGTATCCTCATGGAAAACACGAGTCCTGTAGCTTATACACATCAGAGAGTTGTGAGACTTAATTAACTGCTACATATATAATGGACCAATGGTACGTATCTTCCGGCTTCCATGTTTATTTATATATCATCAACAGTGCTATATTTGTGACGCATAAGTACAAAGTCTGGCGTAGGTTGTTATATTTACCTTTATATTATTTTTTTCATTAATTATGCTGGATTTGCAAAAGAACAGAAAATTATTCATAAAATTTTCGTCAAGTATGTATTTCCATTTGCTGATAAAAAGTGGTGACAAGAACTACTACAATCACCTCCTCTATATGTTTTTATTTTTCATAGATTCTAACAAATTAAATTTCCCATCGATCATAACGTTTGGGGATCGAACAGATAGGTATGAAGTAATCATACAGCAGAAAGGGATTGAACAGATAGGGATTCAGGTTTGAAACTGGCATTCCCTTTTGAGCTATGAATGATCTGCAGGCACGGGCAAAGAATCATACTATAACGCATACAAGTGCCATTATACAGCCGTACAACATGGGCATGGCCCGTGGGTGATGGGCACAAAAATTATCCAAAATTCAGATGGTCACGGTTAAGCATATGTATACTTCTTCTGATATTATTTGGCTCGTAGAATATATATATGGTTGTGTCGCTGTTCTTAATTATAAGCGAGAGTGAAATCATCTATAAAACAGTTAGCTCTCGTCAAGAAGAACTAATTAAGTATATATCATCACACGCCAATTTCCGTGGGGTGAATTATCCTACATATCATACACATTTTAAACTTTTCAAATTAAAACTTGCGTTTAGATGGTAAACGTCATCAACGTATACAGATTAAGGTCCGTATGAATGTGCACGTGTGTACAAGAGAAAAAAGATACATGTCAACTATCCCCACGGATATAGGTACGTTGTCCATGAAACAAACTGTTCTTTTACGTTTCAACTGAAACTATCTATTTAATGGCTTGCTCGGTCACAACCAATCACACGCATAAAAGTCTTACAAGCTATTCCATTCCATGAGTCCTTATAATCACTATGATGTTACTGCCCGGGACCGTTCCGGGCACAAAACTGATGCGGAAACAGACACAGAAGCAACTTCAGTCTGATCAGGTTGCAAATTAACAGAAAAGTCCTTGGTTTTATTTGAAAAAACCCCGGGAAGAAAGCAAACAGTATCTTCATGGAAGACACAACTCCTGTAGCTTAATTAATTATATACACATCAGAGAGATGTGAGACTTAACTGCTACATAATGGACCAATGGTATCTTCTTCCGGCTTCCATGTTTATTTATCATTAACAGTGCTATACTTGTGACACATAAAGTACGAGGTCTCGCGTAGGTTGTCATTTTTACTTATATATTTTTTCCCACTAATTATATATACTGGAAAGAACAGAAAATTATTCTTAAAATTTTCGTCAAGTATTACCATTTGCTGATAAAAAGTGGTGACAAGAACTACAATCACCTCTGGATAGGTATGACGTAATTAACATTAAAACCGGATGTAAATCTCACAAGTAAAAAAATGTGCCATCCTAGACGGAAAATTCCGTCTAGAAAAATCAGAATTCCGTCTAGGACGAGTATCCTAGACGGAATTCCGTCTAAGATATGCGTCTAGGAAGTTTCCGTCTAGAATGTAGTACTCTAGACGGAAATTCCGTCTAGAATACATCCTAGACGGATTAATCTAGACGGAATTCAAAACCGTCTAGGATAATCCTAGACGAACCGTCTAGGATAATCCTAGACGGAAAACTTTCCGTCTAGGATAACCATCCTAGACAGAATTTTCCGTCTAGA